AAGGTGGAAAGGCTCCGGAGAAGGTGGGAAAGGCTTTGAAAAAGGTGGAAATGGCTCTGAAATAGGTGGGAAAGGCTCTGGAAAAGGTGGAAAAGATGGAAAAGCTCCTGGAAAGGATGGAAAATGTGGAAAAGGCTTTGGAAAAGGTGGAAAGGCTCTTGAAAATGTGGAAAAGGGATTGGAAAAGCTGGAAAAGGTGGGAAACCTGGGGAAAAGGTGGAAAACATTTGGAATAGGTGGGAAAACCTCTGGAAAAACTGGACAAGGCTCTGGAGAAGGTGGAAAGGCTTTGGAAAAGCTGGAAAAGGCTCAGGAATAGGTGGAAAAGACTCTGGAGAAGGTAGAAAACCTCTGGAAAAGCTGGGAAAAGGCTCTGGAAATGGTGGGAAAGGCTCTGGAATAGGTGGAAACAGCTCTGGAAAAGGTGAAAAAGCTGGAAAGGCTCTGGAATAGGTGGGAAAAGGTTCTGGAGAAGCTGGGAAAGGTTCTGGAGAAGCTGTGAAAACCTCTGGAAAAGCTGGAAAAGGGTTTGAAAGAGGGAAAAGTCTCTGGAAAAGCTGGAAAAGGCTCTGGAGAAGCTGGAATGTCTGGAAAAGCCCTGGATTTTCCATGCAGAGGATGCTCACATTTCTGGCAGGTTCTGGAAAGGCTGGGAAAGGCTCAGGAAAAGCTGGAAAGGCTCTGGAAAAGGTAGAAAAGGCTCAGGAAAAGCTGGAGAAGGGTTTGAAAAAGCTGGAAAAGGCTCTGGAAAAGCACTGGGTTTTCCGTGCAGAGGAGGCTCACGTTTCTGGCAGGTCCAGGAGGGGCTGTGGGACACGGGCAGTGGGAAAAGTGACGCTGCTGGGGCTGGGGAGGGCTGAGAGCAGCGGAGGAGCCGGTGGCCCCGAAACGTTAATTCCTTCCAGCTGCTGTCAGGCTGGCAGGTTCTCAAAGGAAGTTTAATAGACTGCAGTCGTCTCCCCTCGGCCCCGTCCCCCCATCCTGCCAGAATCTGGGATTACATGAGCTGCTCTGCCTTCCAAAAAACCCAGGTTTATTTTATTTTATTTTATTTTTATTATTTCCCCCCCCCCCCCTTTGGCTCTGGGAGTGTTTTCTTTTCTGTGTGAGTGTGCGCGCACGCACGTGTGCTGGTTCCCAGCTGAAGCTGCCCCTTGGATTGCAGGGATTTTGGGGGAATTTTGGGGTGGCACGGAGCAGGAGTGGGGGTTGGAATGAGGAGGAGGAGGAGGGTGAGGAGGAGGATGAGGAGGAAAAGGCTCCCCGGGCCTCCTTGCTGCAGCGCTCCCCAGCCCCGCCGTGTGAACGGGGAGGAAACAGGATGGAGAAAGTATTTGGAGTGGAAAATAAAAATGCTCTCCTGCTTTATTGATCGTGATTGAGGACAGAAATAGCCCAGGCTGCTGACAGCCCTCCCCACCGAGGCAGCAGCCAAACGTGGGGCTCAGCCATGGAAAAACCAGGAGGGGTCTGGGGAGCTCAGGGCAGGTTTGGATCTCAGGGGCTCCTGCAGGATTTCCAAACCTCCCCTTGTCCCTTTTCCAGGGGCTGAGCAGCCCCTGGAACCCATCAGCAATTAAACAATGAGCTCTCATCATTCAGATTCCCATTCCCACTCCCTCCAATGTCCCAGGAATGATCAGTCCCCAGCAGGGATTGCAGGAAAAGCAAACCCCAGTGCCCAGCTGGCATCGGGCACTGCCCACCCCAGGGAGCACTGGGGGCACCCTGAACCAAAATACTGGTTTAGGTGACTTAAAAATCATGAATTTTAATGGATTTTAGCCAATTTCATTGAATTGTTTCACTTAAAACATCAAACTCAGGGCCAGCCAGGCTGGGGAAGGTGGGCAGGGAAACCCAGGGTGCCCAGGAAAGCCCAGCAGGATCAACACAGTGTGGGCACGGTGCTCCAACTCTGAGAAAACCATAAAAACCAAGTGCTGGCAGGAGAATAATTAGTTAAAACCAAGCACATCTGTTGTTAATTAATTCCCAGGCAGGAGGGTTTAACTCTTGCCCTGCCCAGCATTTTGCAACCTGCATGGCCAGTGCCAACTTGCGTCCAGGGGAAGGGTTTAAATTTTTCAAGTTTGCTCTGGTTCGTCATTCCCTGCTCTGGGTCACCAATCCCTGCTCTGATCCATCATTCCCACATCCCAGAACCACCCCTGGGAATTCCAGGAGCTCCTGGGGTGTGAGCAGAGCAGCCAGCACTGCCCAGGGCAGGGAATGCGCCTCAGGTTTGGGGTTGGGGCTGAAATAAATTTGTCTTTGCCCCTTCCAACCTCCAGCCCTGAGGAGCAAGGTGGGAACAACTCTCTGAGGTGGGGTTTGCAGAGGGCAGAGATCTGGGCAGCCCTGTGCTGATTATTGCTCTTTTATTTGCATTTTCTCCAAGGCAGCAGAAGCATGAACATCACACCCATGGAGGAAAACACACCAGGACCCCATCCCTGCTCTGGATGGGGACCTGCTCCTTTGGGAGCAGCACTAAAGGGCTGAGGAGGAGCAGGAGGGGGGCTCAGGGTGTGTGTGACCCCCACCCCACCCAGCCAGCCCTCAGGGCCCCCCTGCACTGGGGGAATCTGTTCCCCATTTAGCGGCTGCCGCTGGTGGGAGCAGCCCTGGCAGCTCCAGGCTCCCTAATTAGCAGCAGACACGAGGCCAGGCTGGGGAAGGCCAGAACCTCCGTGCCAAGGATGCAAAGGGTTTGGAGCAGAGCCCGTGGAACAGCTCTGAGCGACCCTGCCAGTGCCACATGGGGCCCCGATCCCGTTTGTGCCAGGCTGGGCAGGGATGTGCATCCCCCCCCTCACTGCTTCACCCCAAACCCAGCACCCCCAGCCCTCCCTGCGGGGTGTGGGGTGGAGGAAGGCTGCCCACACCATCCTCTGTGCCTCCTCTGTGCACTTGCACCACGCTGGGCTCTTGCTCACCACTAAAAATAGGATTCCCGGCTGAGCCACAGTGCTGGAGGGCAGCGAGCCCAGATCCCCAGGCAGCCACTGTCACTGTGACCAACTGACCCATTTGGCCCCGGTTTTTAAGTGATTTTCCCTCCTCACTCAGCCTCAGCCCAGGCAGCAGCTGAGCTGGGCCAGCTGAGCCTTTCCAAGGGCAGCGAGACCCCAGAGTGGGGTCGTGGTCCCTGGCCCTGGTGGCATGGCCTGGCAGGGGTGGGGGTGGCCAAAACCACCCCAATTCCAAGGGCAGCAATCTCACCACTCCCAGCCCTTCCATAGGAATTTGCACAATTTATTTTCTCCTTTGAGTAATTCGTGCTCTGGGGCTGGTGAAGCAGGTGACATCCCAGGGATGGTGGGACAAGAGCCAGGGTTTGTCTCAGTGGAGCCCAGGGCACTCCAGGACCTCAACCTGCTGTTCCCTGGAGCCAAGGACACAAAGTCCTCTTGCATTTTCCTTCCCAGCACAAGGAGCCAACAGGAGCACCCTGGGGGCTTTCACTGACCTGTCCCATGTCCCCAAAGCCAGCTGGGAGCAGGATGGGCTGCAGGGACAGGGGACACGGAGCCTCTGCCTCCAGGGAGTGCCCTGCAGAGCACGTGCTGGGCCAGCTGCCAGTCAGAAATGAAGAAAGACCTTTATTTACAGTAAAAAGGAACAAAAAAAAATTTTTAAAATACCGTGACACTTCCCTTCCCATCTCCCCAGCCTGTCAGGGGGTGTCTGCCACCCTCACCCAGCCACCACCTCTGTCCCTGGGATGGTGGCATGGGGACAGCAATGCTGGGGTCATTTGGCACCAATTGAGCCACCGTGCCTGTGCCTGGGACACACTGGGGACACAAGGGGGACACAAGGGGGACACACGGAGCTCAATGAGAGGAAAAGTTTCTTCCAGGAGGGGCTCAGGCTGTGGGTAGTGCACTTGGCAGCCAGGCTGGGCACGGAGGGCAGGGGGCTGGCAGGACATGTCCCCCAACTGGGGACACCACAGTGGGCTGGAGGCTCCAGCATGTCCCGGTGCCCAGAGGTCACCCAGCCTTGGTGGTGTCCCTGCTCTGTGCCAACCCCTGTAACCCCCTTGGAGCACTGTCCTGGGGTGGTGGCAGTGGGATGGGCTGTCCCCAGTGTCAGGCTCTGCAGGATGGGTGTCCCCAAGGCTGGGCCCCAGGGTGGCTCTGCAGGACAGGCTGTCCCCAAGGCCGGGCCTCGGGGTGGCTCTGCGGGACTGTGTGTCCCCAAGGTTGGGCCCTGGGATGACTGGGATGGGCTGTCCCCAGTGCTGGGGTGGTTCTGCAGGACGGGCTGTCCCCAGGGTGGCTCTGCAGGACGGATTGTCCCCAATGCTGGGGTGGCTCTGCGGGAAGGGCTGTCCTCAATGCTGGGGTGGCTCTGTGGGATGGGCTCTCCCCAGCGCTGGGGTGACTCTGCAGGACCGGCTGTCCCCAAGGCCAGAACCTGGGGTGGCTCTACAGGACGGCTGTCCCCAATGCTGGGGTGGCTCTGCGGCATGGGCTGTCCCCAGTGCTGGGCCCCAGGGTGGCTCTGCAGGGTGTCTCTGTGTGACAGGCAGTCCCCAATGCTGGGAGTGGCTCTACAGGATGCGTGTCCCCAATGCTGGGGTGGCTCTGCAGGACAGTCTGTCCCCAAGGCCGGGCCCTGGGATGGCTCTGCAGGGTGGCTGTCCCCAGTGCTGGGCTGGCTCTGTGGAATGGCTGTCCTCAATGCTGGGCTGGCTCTGTGTGACAGTCACTCCTCCTCTCGGCTCAGGTGGCAGGAGGCTCCCACAGTCCCCCAGTGCTGGCAGAGGTAGAGCAGGCCCAGACACCACCAGAGCCCCCGTGGCCCTTTCGGCTCAGCCTTCCCTGGGCAGGACACGCTCCAAGGATGAGGATTCCAGCGGGGGATTCACTCTCCTCCTCCTCCTCTTCCTCCTCTTCCTCAGCAAGGCCTCCTGAGGGCCCGGCCGGAGCCTGACCCACCATGTGAGATCTGAGGGGTCCTGGTGCAGCTCCCCCCGCCCAGAGGGGCCCTCAGGAGGAAAAACAGAGCCCGCAGCACTCCATGCAGATCTCCAGGCAGTCGGCAGACTCGCAGCAGGCGTCGATGATGCCGCAGTCCATGTCGCAGGGCAGGTCGCAGTCCGCGCACTCGCCCGAGTTGCAGCAGCAGCAGCAGATGCAGGAGTCCTCCGAGGTGCAGGAGCCGCACGTGGCACAGTCCAGCACGATGTTGCACAGGGTCAGGAACTCGCAGAACAGGCAGGAGAGGATGCAGTGGACGCAGCAATCTGGGGAGGAACGGCAGGGTGAGACAAGGCCGGGCTGGGGGAGCACCCGAGGGTGGAAATGCTCCCTCAGGAATTCATGGAAAGGAGGGAAAAAGGTATGAGGGGGCAGCCACTGCCCCAGGGATCTCCCTCAATGCGCAGCCCTCAAGAGAAACCAGTTTTGGAGGACAGGAGATGGCCCCGCTCAGCACCTGCCCCACAGAGGCTGCCAGGAGGGCCCAGGGCCCCAAGGGCTTGGAGAATGCCACCAAGGGATCCCAAGGGATGAGGGGCTTGGAGGGTGCCACCAAGAGATCCCAAGGGATGAGGGGCTCAGAGCTGGTAGGGTGCCACCAAGAGATCCATAGGGATGAGGGATCCAAGGGCTCGGAGGAGGCCACCAAGAGATCCCAACGGATGAGGACCCCCAGGGCCTTAGAGTATGCCACCCAAGAGATCCCAAGGGATGAGGGGCCTGAGGAGTTGGAAGATGCCACCCAAGAGATCCATAGAGATGATGAGTCCAGGGCTTGGAGGGTGCCACCAAGAGATCCCAAGGGATGAGGGGCTTGGAGGATTCCACCCAGAGATCTCAAGGGATGAGGGCCCAAGGAGTTGGAAGGTGCCACCAAGAGATCCCAAAGGATGATGAGCCCAGGGCTTGGACAATGCCACCCAAGAGATCCCAAGGGATGAGGAGCCCAAGGAGAACACCTGGAAAGGGCCCTCAGGGTTCAGCAGTACCTTCCTGCGCCTCAATGGGGATGTGGGAGGAGGGTGACTTGGAGCTGCCCTTGCTCTTCTTGCTGCCCTGGCTGTTGATGGAGTGGTGGGGCTGCAGCTTTCGGGGTGGTTTCTGTGTGCTGGGCACAGCTCGGCAGATCCCGTTCCCCGCGTCCCCGTTGGGCAGCAGCTGCGTGCAAGGACCAGGGGACTGCAGGGGTGGCCCCACCTGGGGCTGGCCTGGAAGGGAAAAGCAGAGTATTACACACCCTGCCCTCTCCACAGGGAGAAATGTGTGCCCAGACCCCGGGGAAAAACGGGAATCTGGTCCCCAGCTGGACACGGGGTGAGCTGGAGGGTGGATGGTCCAAGGGGATGGGTGGCACAGACATGTTTTATGAAGAATACTTTCATTAGGATTTTTTCTCCTGAGAAGCCTCAGGAACAAAATGTAAACAATAATTATCTGCTGCTGTGGCATGCAACAGGTGCATCTTTGATTAATCTCATGTGGTTGTTTTTAATTAATGGCCAATCACAGCCCAATTGTCTCAGACTCTGGTCGATCACAAGATTTTATTATCATTCCTTCCTTTTTATTCCTTGCAAACCTTCTGATGGAATCCTTTCTTCTATTCTTTTAGTATAGTTTTAGTATATAATTTTTAAATATAATATATATAATAAAATAATAAATTATTTTAATATATCATAAAATAATAAATAAAAATATTTTAATGTAATATATATAATAAAATAATACATCTGAAACATGGAGTCAAGATTCTCATCTCTTCCCTCATCCTGGGATCCCTGCAAACACCACCACAGACGGTCTCAAGCTACATCAGGGAAGGTCTAGGTTGGATATCAGGAAAAAGTTTTTCACCCAAAGAATAATAAAATATTGGAATGCTCTTTCCAGGGAGGTGGTAGAATCACCATCTCAGGATGTGCTTAAAAAAAGACTGGACATGGCACTTGGTGCTGTAGGTGAGGTGTTAGGGCAGAGGTTGGACTCGATGATCTTAGAGGTCGCTTCCAGCCTCATTATTCTGTGACAGTGTGATTCTGTGATTCTGTGAGGGAGATGGAACAGGAGATGTGGAAAAGGCGGCTGAAGGGAAGGAGACAAAGGCTGCAGAGAGAGGAAGGGATGGAAAACCACCAAGGAATGCAGATTTGTCATGAAGGATGGGCTGAAACTCTTCAGAGGACCTGAAGGAGGAGACGTCCCTGCAGGGCCAGGAGGGATGAAGCCACCAAGAGCTCCTGGGTGTCCCCAGTGCCACAGGAGCTGAGGAACCACAGCAGAGCCAGCCCGCTCCTCTCCCCAGCCCTGCAGGAACCGGCCACTTCCTTGAGGTCTCTGCAACCTCTGGCTGAACTTCCCTGCAGGAGGAGGAAAATAACTCAGTTCTGTGGCTGTGCCTCCCTCCAGCCTCTCCTGCTGCAGCCCAGTGTCCTGCCAGAGCCAGAGGGGTGGCTCAGCCCTCGCTCCTGCCCACGCTGCCTCCTCATCCTCAACTGGGGGAGCACTGGGAACCAGCATAAGGTTCCAGCAGCCATCATCCTCCTCAGTAAGGCCACAAATAAAATAAAATAAAATAAAATAAAATAAAATAAAATAAAATAAAATAAAGTAAAATAAAATAAAACATAAAATATAAAATATAAAATATAATATACTTTAAAAAATAAAAATAAAAATAAAAATTAAAATATATAAAATATAAAATAAAAACAAAAACAAAAATAAAAATGAAAATGAAAATGAAAATAAAAATAAAAATAAAAATAAAAATAAATAAAATAAAACCCTGTCTGGTGGTGCTCCGGCCAAACTTTGCTTTTCCTCCCCCAGGGCAGTAAACAAGGGATGATTCAGGGCAGAGGCTCGAGGGCAAAGGCACCTCCTGGCACCAGGGAACAGGAGCTGCTTTCTGTGCAGGGCACAGGCGGCCCCTGTCCTGCAGCCACCAAAATAAAACAGATGGAAGGTGAAAATAAAGTGGGCGAAAGGTGAAAATAAAGTGGGCAGAAGGTGAATATAAAGTGGGTGGAAGGTGAAAGACACAAGGGGATGGTCCCAGTGCTTGGTCTGGCCAGGCTGAGCTGGGCTTGGGCTGCACAGGGAGGTGAAAGTGGGAATTTGGTCTTTGACACACGCTGGGAAAGGAATTTAAAATAACCAGAGGTGAGTGGGAAGAGTGGGCTGAGAGTGAGCAGAGAGTGGGGAGACACAAAACAGGTCTTGGATAAAACTGGGATTGTCTCCCCTTCCTAAAAACCTCACGTGTGACCGTGTTCACAGGGGTCTTATGTTGAGGGACGAGACGAGGATCTGACTCCATGTTTCAGAAGGCTTGATTTATTATTTTATTATATATTCTACATTAAAACTATACTAAAAGAATAGAAGAAAAGGTTTCATCAGAAGGCTGGCTAAGAATAGAAAAGAATGATCACAAAGGTTTGTGGCTCGGGCTCTGTGTCTAAGACAGCTGGGCTGTGATTTGTGATTGGCGATTAATTAGAAACAACCACATGAGACCAATCACAGATGCACCTGTTGCATTCCACAGCAGCAGATAATCAATGTTTGCATTTTGTTCCTGAGGCCTCCCAGCTTCTCAAGAGGAAAAATCCTAAGGAAAGGATTTTCCATAAGAGATGTCTGCGACACTCATGGAGTGTTCGCTCATTCTGTGCCCTCACCCTGGGCCCTCTCCTGCCTCGTGTGTGGCACCGAGGTGCCCGGGGCTGTGCCAGGAAGGGGCTGAGCCTGCAGGGACCCAGCAGCAGCAGCAGCTCAGCAGGCTGGGACAGCAGCTGGATTGTCTGGGACTGCAGCAGCATGCACTTGGCGCTCCCCATTTCGCTGCATTCCTCAGATTAAACTGTTTGTAAATCAAAATCACGCTCTGGCTCCGGCCAGGGGCAGCCAAAGGCAGCCAGGAATCCCCCCCTCAAAGTTAGGGAAAACAGCTCCCATTTTTTTTTAGGAGACAGCCTTTAAGAAATGAGGCCAAAACTCTGCTAAAAGAGGCACCTTCAGCTCCCCTGTAATGCAGGAGTGGGGGAGCAGCCTGGAAAACAGGATTTTGGGGGGAAACTGCCTGTCTGCAGCTCTTCAATAACCAAAAACCTGCTGGATGTTTGTAACCTGTAACCTGAACCCCAAAACTTTGGGCTTCCCATGGAGGTGATGCTCTGGATGCCCTCAGGCTGTCCCAGGGCAGCATCACCAGGGTCCCTGCGGCACTGCCAGGGTTTGGAATGTTGTGGCCACCTGGGTTTGGTGCCCCTGCCTGAAGCTCAACACACAGCATGCCAGGCCTGCAATCCCTGTGTCCCAAAATGCTGCAAAACTGGATTTGAGCACAGACCTGAGCCTCAGAGGGGCCAATCCTGCATTGGTGGGCAAGGACATCACCCTGCACCCTCCAGCCTTTTCTGCCTGGTTCCTCCTGAGCTTGCACGAGCCAGGCTGGCACAGGAATGCCCCATCCCATGGGAGAGCCTAAATGTGCTCCTCAGGGCCTGCCAAAATGGGAATAACCCCAAAAACCAATGGTGACCCCCCAGGAGCAGCACAGTGAGGAGTGGGGACAGCAGAGGTGACGCTGCTCACCAGAAGGAGGGTGCCCCAATCCCCCCCAGCCTTGGGGGGCTGGGCTGGGGAGGGGGCCGTGCAGGGCTGAGCCGTGACTCAGGCGTGCAGAATGTCTGTGGGCAGCCGGCCCAGCTCGCAGATGCTGCGCGAGGGCTCGGCCGCGGGAACCGGGAGCTCTGCTGTGCTCTCCTTGTGAGCTCTGCTCCCCTCACTGAGCTCTGCTCTGCTCACTGAGCTCTGCTCCCCTCACTGAGCTCTGCTCTCCTCACTGAGCTCTGCTCTGCTCACTGAGCTCTGCTCTCCTTGTGAGCTCTGCTCTCCTCACTGAGCTCTGCTCCACTCACTGAGCTCTGCTCTGCTCACTGAGCTCTGCTCTCCCTGTGAGCTCTGCTCTGCTCACTGAGCTCTGCTCTCCTCACTGAGCTCTGCTCTCCTTGTGAGCTCTGCTCTGCTCACTGAGCTCTGCTCTGCTCACTGAGCTCTGCTCCCCTCACTGAGCTCTGCTCCCCTCACTGAGCTCTGCTCTGCTCACTGAGCTCTGCTCTCCTCACTGAGCTCTGCTCTCCTTGTGAGCTCTGCTCCCCTCACTGAGCTCTGCTCTGCTCACTGAGCTCTGCTCTCCTTGTGAGCTCTGCTCTGCTCACTGAGCTCTGCTCTCCTTGTGAGCTCTGCTCTCCTTGTGAGCTCTGCTCTCCTTGTGAGCTCTGCTCTCCTCACTGAGCTCTGCTCTCCTCACTGAGCTCTGCTCCCCTCACTGAGCTCTGCTCTCCCTGTGAGCTCTGCTCTCCTCACTGAGCTCTGCTCTCCTCCTGCACTGTCTGCATTTCCCATCCTCTTCCCTTCCCTGCCTGCTCCCTGGAGGGGCAGCCCCATTCCCAGCCTCCCTCATCCCCTCCATCCAGTTTACACCCTTTGGAAGGGACCTGGGAAACTTCCATCCAATTTCTGCCCCTTGCAAAGGGACTGGGGAGCTTCCATCCATTTGGGGTTTTGGGGGATGCTCCTTTCCCAGGCAGGCTGACCCCCCCTTCCCACCACACCCCCCCAGAGAACCCCAACCCTTCCCAAGCAGCTCCAGCTGCTCCAGGAGCCACCCCGGGTGCCGCCCTTCCCTTCCACCTCTCCAGGTGACTCAGCCTCGGTTCAGGCTTTGATGTGGGGAGGAACAAAGCGGGGAGGAGCCGGGTTCCCACCTCTGCCCTGCTTTGTGATGAGTCCCGAGGGCAACACTCACATGTCACAGCTTCGGGAGCGCCACAGAGCTCGGCCCGGGGGCTTTTTGTCAGCACTGCCGGGGGTTTGTCACCTTCCAGGGCTTTCGGGGGTTTGTCACCTTCCAGGGCTTTCTCCTTTGGGGATTTGTCACCTTCCAGGGCTTTCTCCTTCTTCAGGGATTTGTCACCTTCCAGGGTTTTCTCCTTCTTTGGCACCGCGGGGCGGGCAGGGGACCGGGGACCCCTCGGGGCAGGGAGGGAGGGCTCAGGCACCTCTGCAAGAGAAATGGGGTTAGAGCTGAAAACGGGGTTAGAGCTGAAAACGGGGTTAGAGCTGAGCCCCGGGTCAGCCAAACTCCCAAATACTGCCCACAGCTTGGGGCAGGAGGCTTGGGCTCCCCTGTGTCACACAGCACACAAGGATGTCACCAAGGGATGAACCCAAGGGAGGAACACAAGGGATGAACCCAAGGATGAACCCAGGGATGAACCCAAGGATGAACCCAAGGGATGAACACAAGGGATGAACCCAAGGGATGCCACCAAGGGATGAACACAAGGATAAACCCAAGGGATGAACCCAAGGGATGAACCCAAGGATAAACCCAAGGGATGAACCCCAGCGATACCACCAAGGGATGCCACCCAAGGGATGCCACCAAGGGATGAACCCAAGGATGCACCCAAGGGATGCCAGGATGCCACCTGAGGGATGCCACCCAGGGTTTGGGCAGCCCAGGACGGGCACAGGGGCTGCACCACCCCCCAGCTGCTCCCCCCGCTGCAGCACCGTCCCAAAAACGCTCCCCGAGCTCTCACATTCCTCCTCCAAAGCCAAGGGATCTGGTTACACTCGGCAGCCAGGCTGGGTTTTTCATCCCCCTTCCCATGAAAGAGCCACTGTCTGCCCTGCCGGGGCTGGCTGCCACCTCCCTCATCCTCTGCACTCTGGGGCAGCACCAACCCCTGCAGGAGCCCTCCGTGGGGCAGCAAAACCCTGCAGGGAGCTGAGTTATCCCCCAATGGGAGAAATCCCTGTGCCAAACACCCCCGAGCAGAAAGGCAGGAGGGGGCAGGACCACCTTTAGTGCTGCTGAATTCCCATGGGGAATTTGGGGTGCCAGGGGTGCCCAGGGCTGTGCCACACTGCCCCAGCCCCCCCTGCCCAGCCAGCCCTCTGCCCATCCCTCAGAATAGCAAAGTCTTGCACAACAGGGGCTGGAACACACTTTATATAAAACTAAATTATAGGCTGGGCAGAGAGAGGCAGAGCACAGAGCCATAATTGCCCTGGCTGGAACAGGAGCCCTGCAAGCAGCCAGGGAGGGCAGGGGAGGGGGGAAAGAGGCCTGGGATGGTTCATTATCCTCCCGAAAACCAGGGTCCCACACACCAGAGCTGAGGGGGAAAGAGGGCAATTACAGATAATTAAATATCAATGCTATTAAAAGGAGCAAACAAGGGAAGTTGGGGGGTTCCAGCTGCACCCCAGGATCAGCAGCAGCCTGGAAATGCTGCAGCCAGTCTGAAGCGATGCTGCTCTGCTCCACAACACCCTCCAAAATCATCCATGTGCCTCAGTTTCCCCTCTCTGCCCTCCCCAGGGTGCAGATCCAGCCTGGAGCTCCTGAGACAGGGTTGTTTTTTTCATTTTTGGGAATCAAAACTCATCCCAGCACAGAGCCCTGCTCACACAGAGCTCTCACCGGCGAGGAGATTTTGGGGCTCAACCAAGGGAAACCCAGCAGCTCCTGCTGAATCTTGCACGACAGCATTGGCTCCAAACCCCAATGGAGCGTGAGCCCCAGATGGGAGAAAAGGCACTGCCATGGCTCTGCAAAGCCCAGAGCAGAATGGAGAGGTGAGGAGGGCAGGCTGTCACCGCCCCAGGGCTGTGGGGGTGAGTGACATCCACAGCCTCTGGCACGGCCCAGCCCTGATCCAAAGGCAGAGGTGGAATCCCGATGGATGAGGGTGGGAAATGGATCATGAGGGAAATGGATCATGTGGGAAATGGATCGTGAAGAAATGGATCAGTGGATCATGAGTGTGGGAAATGGATCATGAGGGAAATGGATCATGAGGGAAATGGATCATGAGGGAAATGGATCATGTGGGAAATGGATCATGAGGGAAATGGATCAGTGGATCATGAGTGAGGGAAATGGATCACGAAGAAATGGATCAGTGGATCATGACTGTGGGAAATGGATCATGAGGATGATTGCCCTGGCCAGGAAGGGGCTGGGGGTGCAGGAGTTTTGGGGAAAAGCGAGAGGTGTCCCATGCCAAGGATGCCAGAGATGAGGAGCTCTGAGTGGCGGCAGAGGTGAAGCTCCCACAGAGTCCCCGAGCTCTGGTTCCTGCTGTGGGATGTGCTGAGTGTGTTCAGCGCTTAAAACCCCTCAGGAAACAGCCCCATCACCCCCAGATCCCCTCTCCTGAGGGAAAAAGGGCTGGAAAATCAGGAGCAGCAGCAGGAGAAGGGGCTGGCACAGGGAGAGCTCAGCAGATCCCTGTCCCTGCCCCTCTGTGCTGCCTCCAGAGCATCCCCTGCCCCCTCTGTGTCACACACATCTTTTATGGAAAATCCTTTCCTTAGGATTTTTCCTCCTGAGAAGCTGAGAGGCCTCAGGAGCAAAATGTAAACATTGATTATCTGCTGCTGTGGGATGCAACAGGTGCATCTGTGATTGGTCTAATGAGGCTCTTTCGAATTAATGGCCAATAAATTAATGGCTCAGACTCTCTGTCCGAGCCACAAATCTTTGTTATCATTCTTTGCTATTCTATTCTTAGCCAGCCTTGTGATGAAATCCTTTCTTCTATTCTTTCAGTATAGTTTTAATGTAATATATATCATAAAATAATAAATCAAGCCTTTTGAAACATGGAGTCAGATCCTCGTCTCTTCCCCAAACCTGAGACCTCTGTGAGCGCTGTCACACCTCTGTGCCCGTTCCTGGGGACAAGGACAGGCTGGGTGGATCCACAGCGATATCCAGGCTGTGCTCCAGCTGGGATGGAGCCCAGGCTCGTCCCTGCTGTGCCCACTTCACACTTGTAATTACCCTGCACAAGCGCTCACACACAACCACAGGCAGGCAGGGAGGAAGGTGGCAATTAAATTAACTCCCCCGGGAACAAGCTGGCCAGGAGAGGGACAGAAATAGCCAGGAATGAAGTTTGGGTGAGCTGATCCTTCACACAGCCTCACATCCCACGGGCTGGATATGGGGATGGGGCTGAGCCCCAGCTGCCCCTGGAATGGGGTGGGGAAGGACCCAGGGAGGGCTGGGAGAAGGTGGGAATGTGTGGGGTCAGCACAGAGCCCACAGCTCCCCGTCCACTGGGATCCACGGGGGAATGCAGGGGGAATGTTCAGGGAAAAGGAGAGGGAATGGAAAATGCAGGGGGAATGCCAATGGAAAAGGAGAGGGAATGATCAGGGAAAGGCAGAGGGAATGGGAAATGCAGGGGAATGTTCAGGGAAAGGCAGAGGGAATGCCAAGGGAAATGGAGAGGGAATATTCAGGAAAATGAAGAGGGAATTCTCTGGGAAGGGCACAGGGAATGCCAAGGGAAATGCAGAGAGAATGCCCTGGGAAATACAGAGAGAAGGCCTTGGGAAATGCCCTGGGAATGTTCTGGGAAATGCAGAGGCAATGCCCAGGGAAATGCAGAGAGAATGCCCTGGGAAGTGCAGGGGAAATGCCCTGGGAAGGGCACAAGGAATGTCCTGAGAAGTGCAGAGAATGCCCTGGGAAATGCAGAGGGAATGCAGAGAGAATGTCCTGGGAAATGCAGAGAATGCCCAGGGAAATGTAGAAGCAATGCCCTCGGAAATGCAGGAGCAATGCCCTGGGAAATGTCCTGGGAAATGCAGAGGCAATTCCCTGGGAAATGCTGCAGCAGCAGCTCCCCAGTGCCCCCAAGCAGAGGCAGCAGCTCTGCAGGCACAGGAGGAGCTGAGCAGACCCTTCCACCACTGGCACAGCTCATCCCACAGCTCCCTCTCCTCTAAACTCCCCAATCCCTGCCCTGCTGATCCCCCCTGGACCCCTCCTCCCTGCTGCCCCCAGAACAGGACCAGCCGTGACCCAAATCCATCAGATTTAAACCCAACTGTGAGCCTGGGCCAAACCCTGAGGCCAGCCAGCCCTTGGGATGGGACATCTCACTTCTCCCCAAAATTCCTGCACCTCAAACCCTTCCTGGGCAGGGCAAATCCTCCTCAGAGCCTGGGATGAGCAGCACAAGGGAGATGTGGGAGAGCAGCTCAGAGCTCTGGATTTTGGGAGCAGAGGTAACGAGGCATTCCAAAAACAATAACTTCAATAAATCACAGCACTGCCCCAAGGTACCAAGAGATCAGCAAAGTGATAAATGTGGGGCTGATTTCTCCTGCCAAGCCCGGGACATGCACATGGAGCCGATTTTCTGATTATTCTCCCCGATCCCAAAGTCCAAATCCATCGGTCATGGGAGTCCTGAGACATCAGGGAGCCCCAAAATCCATCCAGGGGGTGGGAAAACAGCACAGGAGAGAGGAGAGATGCAAAGAAACTGGAAGTTCATGGCTGGAACTGCGAAATTCCTGCAAATTCCTGAGTTCCAACATCCCTCTGGGGGATGCAAGAGCTTCTGTGGAAAAGATCCTCGTGCTCCCAGTGGGAATTCCTGATGGGCTGAGCTCAGCATTCCCAAAGAGCTGGACAAACAAAAGGCAGGAGCCACAAATAGGAGCCACAGCTCCCAAAAATCTGTGGGTTCCCTTCTCCCTTCCTGCGCTGCCCAGACCCCCAGAGGCAAAGCTGAAGCTGTGCTTTGGGGTCCAAACTCAAATTCAGTCCCAGTCTGGGGCTTTTCCCTGTTGTTTTCCCATTGTTTTCCCCCATCCTCTGTCCCCACTGCGTGTTTGGGATGGTTGATGTTGGTTTGGGATGGTTGATGTTGGTTTTGTGATGAAGATTAGTGCTGGGACATGAGGAAAGGAACCTGCTCCTTCCCAGCTTTGGGAAGATTTGTTCTCCCTGTTTTCTACTCCAGGCTTAAAAATTCCTCCTTCCCCTGCAGCTCCACACTGGAATGGTGCCTTAATACCTATAACAGGTAAATTTATTTACATTAAATCAGTTTTGGCTGCATAAGGAATAATTCCTCCCAAATTGCTGCCCAAGATCCAGCCCAGCTTTGCTTCCCACCTGGAAACCCTTTGGCCTCACCTGGGCAAAGCTTTGGATAAACAGCAACAGTGAGGAATGCAGTCAGAAAAACAAAGTGGTTTCTGTGAGAAGTGACTTCCTAAACGCACAAAAAGCAAACCAAAGCACAAAAAAAAATACCCACAAAAACCCCAAATAGCTCAGCAAGGCTGGGAGTTGTTGTTATTTGTTATTTATAGGATTTGGGTGGGAAGAGAGGGAGGGATTTTGGGGCCAGACAGGCCAGGACCAGCATCCATCCAGTCCATCCCTGCTGGAGTTTGGCCTGGGTGACAAAACCCCAGTTCCAGGTTGGTGTCCCCACAAATCCCATCCCTGCAAGGTCCTCGTGGCTCCTGCCAAACCAAATTAATGCGAGAAATGTTCCTACAAGGGGTTTCAGGAAATACAAAACATCAATTCCCTGCAAGAAGCACCTCTGACCCTGCAGCAATTTGGGAGGAATTATTCCTTATGCAGCAAAAGCTGATTTAATGTAAATATATTTACATTTTACAGGTATTAAAGCACCATTCCAATGTGGAGCTGCAGGGGAAGGAGGAATTTTTAAGCCTGGACTGGACAAAGGGACAACAAAACTTCCCAAAAGTGGGAAGGAGCAGGTTCCTTTCCTCATGTCCCAGCACCAATCCTCATTCCAAAAACGAACATAAACCATCCCAAAACCAACATAAACCATCCCAAACCAACAGAAACCATCCCAAACACACTGTGGGGACAGAGAATGGGGAAAAGAATGGGAAAACAACAGGGAAAAGCCCCAGACTGGGATTGAATTTGAGTTTGGACCCCAAAGCACAGCTCCAGCTTTGCCTCTTCCCCCACTGCAGCAATTTGGGAGGAATTATTCCTTATGCAGCAAAAATCAATTTAATGTAAATATATTTACATTTTACAGGTATTAGGGCACCATTCCAGTGTGGAGCTGCAGGGGAAGGAGGAATTTTTAAGCCTGGACTGGAAAACAGGGAGAACAAATCTTCCCAAAGCTGGGAAGGAGCAGGTTCCTTTCCTCATGTCCCAGCACCAATCCTCATTCCAAAAACGAACATAAACCATCCCAAACCAACAGAAACCATCCCAAACCAACATCAACCATCCCAAACCAACACAAACCATCCCAAGACCAACGTAAACCATCCCAAACACACAGGGAATGGGGGAAAACAATGGGAAAACAATGGGAAAACAATGGGAAAACAATGGGAAAACAATGGGAAAACAACAACTGGGATGGAATTTGAGTTTGAGGAGCAATTGGAAAACTCCCCCCAAAAAAATGGAAAATCTGGGAAATCAAGGAAGGAAATCCTGGGTGTCCCTAAGGAAAAGCAATTATCCCTGGAGCCTGGAAAGCAGCAGAGGTGAGGCCTTATCAGATCCAGGGAGATTCTGGGAATTACAGAGCAGGGAGAAATGATGGAGGGAGTAATTAATGCCCAAGCCAGGCTGGAAATTGGGTAACCTTGGGGGTTAAACCAGCACAGGTCCTGCCAGGGGAAAAAAAATTGTGTCTTGCCCAATTTAAGTCCTTTAAAAAATAAAAGTTAATTGAGGAGGGGATGGAAGGGGAGCTGCTCAATAATCTGAATTTCTCCAGCTCCTTTCATCCCAGCACAGATTGAAGCCAGGGCCCAGCACACCTTCCCTGAGCTCCAGGGATTTTCCTTTAAAAACTGCTTTAATTATGGGGAAACTGAGGCAGGAAAACGGGATTTTTCCCCAAAAAAATATCCTGTGGAGATGGAGCACAGAACTCTCTGTAGGTTGGGGTTTCTTCTATGCACACATCCCAAAAATTCCCCAATTTTTGGGGCACGGGAAGGGATTTTGGGGCTTTCCTGGTGCCCATCCCACAGAGGGGGGAACTCCAGGCATGGAAAAATCTGGGAAAAATCACCAGAACTGCAGCAAACAGCCCGAGGAGGGTTTGGGTTTCTGCAGCTCCCAGGCTGGAGCTTTCCAAGGAAATTCAATCAGGATTTGGAGCAGCAGCAGGGGCAGCACAGCCCCAAGGCCCAGCTTTGTTTTGCTCAAACCCAGAAACTTTGAAATAAGCCAGAAATCTGCTTTTTTCTTCTTTTTTTTTCTCCTCGTGTTTCTTTTCTTTTTCTTGGTAAGTTTTGCATTGCTCAAAGAACAAACACCAGCGAAGCGTTTTCGGGAGCTGACAAGGAAAAAAACTTGGAAAGAGAAACCAGAAATGTTGCAAAAACTTCTTTCTGTGGGGTAAAAAAAATACATTTTTGTTGCTTTCAGGGCTTTTTTCGGGAGGGGCTCTTTGCACTTTGTGCGCAACTCTGCAATCCTGCATTTAAATCAGTGCTGAGACAAGGAAAAAAACCCATTTATTTTGATTTTGGATGGGTTTTTTCTTGGTTCCTGAGTGAGGTGGCCTCGATTTCTGCTGAGAATTCCCTGCTTGGGGCAGCCCAGGGCTGTTTTGGGGCTGAGTATTTCATGTTTGGGGCCAAATATTTTGCGTTTGGGGCCGAATGTTTTATGTTTGGGCCAAATATTTTGTGTTTGGGGCTGAATATTTCATATTTGGGGCTGAAAGTTTTGTGTTTGGGGCTGAATATTTGGTGTTTGGGGCTGAATATTTGGTGTTTGGGGCCGAATATTTCATGTTTGGGGCTGAATGTTTCATGTTTGGGGTTGAATATTTCATGTTTAGGGCCGAATATTTCACATTTGGGGCTGAATTTTTCATGTTTGGGGCCGAATATTTCGTGTTTGGGGCTGGGCACTCCTCCTACACCTCAGGGCAAAATCCTTGGGAACAGACAGAAAAAATTAAGGAAATCAAAGGAAATGTGTGTGTGCCAAAGCCTGAGCTGGGACAGCTGGGACACAGGCAGGGATTGGGGACATGGATGGGGACACGAGGGTGGCAAATGTCCCCTCTGGGAAGGGAAAAGGGAGGTGGGAATGAGCAAATTTTGCTCATTTCAAACCCAGGTTTTGCTTCTGGAGGTGGATTTGTGTCCATCCTCACATGGAGGAGAAGGAGAAGGAGAAGGAGAAGGAGAAGGAGAAGGAGAAGGAGGAAGAGGAGGAGGAAGAAGGAGAAGGAGATGGAAAAGAAGGAGGAGGAGAAGGAGGAGAAGGAAGAGGAGCAGAAGGAAGAAGAAGAGGAGGAGGAGGAAGAAGAGGAAAGATCCTCTCTTGCTTCCCACTGTCCCTGCTCCTCCTCTCTGAAGGAAGAATCATCTCACCAAGCAAAAAACTCTTGTTTTTTCTCCTGTTTTCTGCTAATTCCTCTAAAGAATAATCACCAGGACAGACAGACAGACAGACAGACAGACTCTCCTCTCCCAAACTACCTGTGGCTATTTCAGGCCGTGCCCCCGTCCCTGCTGGGTGGGAGGAGCTGTGGTGGCACCCAGCCCATCTCTGGAGATGCCAGGGAATGAAATTTTGGGGGATAAAATCTCCATGTCCAGCTGGGGACCTGAGCTGGGCCACACCCCCCCCCCCCCCCCCATCGTGCCTCAGTTTCCCCATTTGTTCCCCATCCTAGAGGGAGGATCCAAATGAGCCAGGCTGGTTTGTAAAACTTGGGAAAGGGAATGCAGGGAGAATTCCCAGGCTCTGAGCTGCGTGACAGAGCTGCTGGCTCCGGCCCAAAGCCACCAGGGCCCTGCTCCTGAGTGTCACAGGGACAGACAGACAGACAGACAGACAGACAGCCTGGGACACGCTCGTCCCCAAAACCACACGGGGAGGGAGGAGGGAGAGCCAGGGTTTGGGATGGGGAGCACAGAGCTGATCCTGAGGAGGAGCAGGGTGGGATGAAGGCTCTGGAGGAGGAGCAGGGATGGGATGAAGGCTCTGGAGCAGGGCAGGGATGGGACGAAGGCTCTGGAGGAGGAGCAGGGATGGGATGAAGGCTCTGGAGCAGGGCAGGGATGGGATGAAGGCTCTGGAGGAGGAGCAGGGATGGGATGAAGGCTCTGGAGGAGGAGCAGGGATGGGATGAAGGCTCTGGAGCAGGGCAGGGATGGGATGAAGGCTCTGGAGGAGGAGCAGGGTGGGATGAAGGGAAGCTTGGGCTGGCTCTGCTCAGTTCACACTCTGCTCTGGGACAGGTGAGGAAGAGGAGGAGGGGGTTTGGGATGGTTTGGGATGGAGGTGAGGCCACTTCAACGTGGGGAAATGGAACTGGGCACTGATGGATGTGCCTTAAACTTGGAACAACAAACTGGGCACTCAGGGATGGCCCTCCAAGATGGGAAAACTAAATTTGGCACAGATGGATGTCCCTGAAATTTGGGAACAACAAACTGGTCACTCATGGATGCCCTTCCAACAGGGAACAGGGACAAGAAGTCCCCAACAGGGACACATCAAACTGGGCACTCACAGATGCCCCTCCAAGATGGGAAAACCAAACTGGGCACTGATGGATGTCCCTGAAATTTTGGAACACCAAATTGGGCACTCATGGATGCCCCTGAAATATGGGAAAACTGAACTGTGCACTCATGGATGGCCCTTAAATTTGGGAACGCCAAATTGGGCACTCATGGGGGTCCCTGAAATTTGGGAAAACAGAACTGTGCACTCATGGGTGTCCCTTAAATTTGGGAACACCAAACTGGGCACTCTCTGATGTCCCCAGTGAGGTCCCAGTGCTCCTGCTGATGCCACCAGCACCCCTGGGAGCTGAACCACTCTCTACCCACCGACAGCTCTGGTGTGGCCACAGGGAAGGCAGAAAAGCTCCAAAACCATTTCCCCCAAAGCATTTCACAGATTTTGAAGCTGCTTTTTGAACTTCCCCCACAGCTGCTGGTACAGGAGCTCAGCAGAGCTGGGGCTGGGGACAAACCCCTTGCAAAAATCTCCTTGCGTTCCCAGCTCATCATTTCCCACCTGGAAAAGGAAGGAAATGCAGGGAAATCAGCCCCAGGGAATGCAGCTGCTGCGTTGGGAATGAGTTTGGAGCAGAGCTCGTCCAGCTGCAGGGGGAACAGAACAGGAGGGTGAATTCTCCAGAGCCAGCAGGGGCCGGTCCAGATGTGCTGATCCCGCTTTGCTCACCAAATTTTGGGGATTTTGGGAGCTGTTCCCAGGCTGGATTCGGCCCCTTTTGTGTCTGACCTGACAGAGCACGGTGTGCTGCTGCAGCCTCATGCTCAGGGGGGTTTTAGTCCCTCCATGGGGTTTTTAATGCAGTTTTTAGTACAGTTTTAATGCAGTTTTTAATGCAGTTTTTCATGCACGTGAAGCTCGGCAGGGCCAGAGGGGCTCTGGGGGCTCAGCTGTGAGGATTCCCCCAAATTTCCGCCCATTTCTGATCCCTGTAACCCACCCAGAGCTGCCCCCATCCCTGGGGGGGTTTAACTCACATCCCCCTCCCCGGGCTTGGCACCGGGACAGAAACTGAGGCAGAGTTTGGGATCGAAATCCCGGCGGGGCCCGGCGGCTGCTGAGCTCACACACAAACACAGCAGCACGGGAAACACGGCACAAACGCACACTCACATGTTCACAATCACACACAAACACATCCAAACACGGCCAGGGGCACAAACGCACACTCACATGTTCACAATCACACACAAACACATCCAACACGGCCAGGGGCACAAACACACACTCACATGTGCACAGTCACACACAAACACGGCCAGGGGCACAAACACACACTCAAATGTTCACAATCGTGCATAAACACACACTCAGATGTTCACAATCACCCCCAAATACTGCCAGGGGCACCAACACACACTCACATGTTCACAATCACACACAAACACACCCAAACTCACACCCAAACACTGCTAGGGGCACAAACACACAGTCAGATGTTCACAACCCTGCACAAACACACACTCAAATGTTCACAATCACACAAAAACATGCCCAAACTCAGACCCAAACACTGCCGGGGGCACCAGCACACACTCAGATGTTCACGATCGTGTACAAACACACACTCAGATGCTCACAATCGTGCACGCTCTCCGTGCCCAGCAGTGCATCCCCACAGCCCCAAACTGCAGCCCGGGAGCCCTGCACACATCCCCCCTGTGCACACACCCTGCCCGCCACCCCAAACCTTCCCTGGGACCCCACAGACTTCCCTGGGATCCCAAAACTTTGCACGGGAACCCAAAACCTTCCCTTGGATCCCAAAACCTTCTCCATGATTCCAAAATCCTTCTCGGGATCCCACAGCCTTCCCTGGGATCCCAAAACTTTGCATGGGATCCAAACCCTTGCATGCAATCCCAAAACCTTCCCTGCGATCCCAGAACCTTGCAAGCGATCCCAAAACCTTCTCCATGATCCCAAAACCTTCCCTGAGACTCAACAGCCTTGCACGGCATCCCAAAACCTTCCCCGGGATCCCACAGCTTTCTCCATGATCCCAAAACCTTCGGCGTGATCTCAAAACTTCGCATGGGATCCCAAAACCTTCTCGATGAATCCCAAAACCTTTCCCGGGATCCCAAAACCTTTCCAGGGATCCCAAAACCTTTCCCGTGAGCACACAGCACTCAGCCCCCTCCAGCCTTGCTCCCCCTCTTTGTGTCCTCCCTTTGTCCCCCCTTTGTCCCCCGTACCTGGCGGCGGTCCCGGTTCGGTTCGGGGCCGCTCCGGGCGCTCGGGCCGGGGGCTGCCGGGCCGGGACATGGCTGCGGGAGGGTCGGCGGGGCTCGGAGCGGGGCCCGGCCCGTCCCGGTGCGGTCCCGGTGCTCGGTCCCGCTCACCTGGGGCCCCGCGGGGCTCCGCGCCCGCCCCCGCGCCCGCCCCGCATCCCCCGGCCCCGCCGCTGGGCTGGGCTCCGCTCCGGGGCTTTGTCCGCGCCAGCCCCTTCCAAAAATAAAATTAAAAAAAAAATAAAGAGAGAAAAAAAAAATCGAATTAAATTAAAAAAAAAAAAATGAGGTTGGGAGCGCGGACCCGCGGCCAAGCCGCGCTGCCGGAGCTGCTGCCGGAGGCTGGAGCGGAGCCGGGAGCGGGGAGAGGCGGAGGAGGCTCCGGGGCCGGCCCCGGGTTTGGGATTGCACAGCTGGGCTGAGCCCTCGGCTGGGGCTGCGGGAAACGGCGGGGGGAGAGCGGGGCTGAGCCGGGTTTGTACCCCTTGGGTGGGTGTCGGACCCCTCAGATGGGTGTTTGGACCCCTTGGGTGGGTGGTGGAGCCCTCAGATGGGTGTTGGACCCTTCAGATGGGTGGTGGAGCCCCTTGGGTGGGTGTTTGGACCCCTTTGGGTGGGTGTTGGAGCCCCCCCCAAGTGGGTGTTAGGACCCCCAGGTGGGTGTCAAAGCCCTGGGTGGACATTTGGACTCCCTTGGGTGGGTGTTGGGACCCCCTCGGGTGGATATTGGAGCCCCAGGTGGGTATTGAAGCCCCCCAGGTGGACGTTTGAACCCTTTGGGTGGGTTTTGAGCCCCCAGGTGGGTGTTAAAGCCCTGGGTGGGTTTTGGACCACTCAGATGGGTGTTTGGACCCCTTTGGGTGGGTGTTGAAGACCTGAGTAGGTGTTGGGAGCCCCAGGTGGGTGTTGGAACCTCTTGTTCACACCCAGCACTCTCAGGGTCCCATGAATCCCTCAGTGATCACATCCAGCTCCATCCTGCACTCCCAGTGAGTCCCTCTGCAATCACACACCCAGCACTCCCAGTGTCCCAGTGAATCCTTCAGTGATCACACCCAGCCTCATTCTGTGCTCTCAGGGTCCCGTGAATCCCTCAGTGATCACACCAGGCCTCATCCTGCACTGTGAATCCCTCAGTGATCACACCCAGCCTCATTCTGTGCTCTCAGGGTCCCGTGAATCCCTCAGTGATCACACCAGGCCTCATCCTGTACTGTGAATCCGTCTGCAATCACACCCAGCCTCATCCTGCACTGTGAATCCCTCAGTGATCACACCCAGCCTCATTCTGTGCTCTCAGGGTCCCATGAATCCCTCAGTGATCACACCCGGCCTCATCCTGCACTGTGAATCCCTCAGTGATCACATCCAGCTCCATCCTGCACTCCCAATGTCCCAGTGAATCCCTCAGTGATCACACCAGGCCTCATTCTGTGCTCTCAGGGTCCCGTGAATCCCTCAGTGATCACACCAGGCCTCATCCTGCACTGTGAATCCCTCTGCAATCACACCCAGCCTCATCCTGCACTGTGAATCCCTCAGTGATCACAGCCAGCCTCATTCTGTGCTCTCAGGGTCCCGTGAATCCCTCAGTGATCACACCAGGCCTCATCCTGCACTGTGAATCCCTCAGTGATCACATCCAGCTCCATCCTGCACTCCCAATGTCCCAGTGAATCCCTCAGTGATCACACCAGGCCTCATTCTGTGCTCTCAGGGTCCCATGAATCCCTCAGTGATCACACCCGGCCTCATCCTGCACTGTGAATCCCTCAGTGATCACACCCAGCCTCATTCTGTGCTCTCAGGGTCCCCTGAATCCCTCAGTGATCACACCAGGCCTCATCCTGCACTGTGAATCCCTCAGTGATCACACCAGGCCTCATTCTGTGCTCTCAGGGTCCCATGAATCCCTCAGTGATCACACCCAGCTCCATCCTGCACTCCCAATGTCCCAGTGAGTCTCTCAATGATCACACCCAGCTCCATCCTGCACTCCCAATGTCCCAGTGAGTCTCTCAATGATCACACCCAGCCTCATCCTGCACTCCCAGTGAATCCCTCTGCAATCACACCCAGCCTCATCCCGCGCTCCCCCCGGGCCGGCTGCGCTCCGAGGAAGGCTCTGGCTGTGGGATCTGGCCGGCTTTGTGCAAACAAGGCCGTTCCTGTAGGTGTGTGACTGCACTGACCCACATTCACAAACCCTGGCACCCCGCGCCGCTCCCGGCTCTACCGCCGCCAAAATAAACCCAAAATAAACCCAGCCCAGCTCTCGCAACTCCCGGTGCTCCTCGGGGGGAGCCGGGGCTGGGCTCCACCTCCCCTGGATCTGCACCCCAAAACCCCTGGATCTACACCCCAAAACCCCCAGACCTGCTCCCCAAAACCCCCAGATCTGCACTCCATAATGCCCAAATCTACACCCCAAAACCCCTGGATCTACATCCCAAAATCTCTGGATCTGCATCCCCAAGCCCCTCTGGATTTGTGCCCCAAATCTCCCAGATCTGTGCCCCAAACCTCCCTGGATCTACCCCCCGAAACCCCTGGATCTGCACCCTCAAATCCCCAAATCTACACTTCAAAACTCCCAGATCTGCACCCCATAGCCCCTGGATCTGTACCCCAAAACCCCCAGGGCCCAAACCCTCCAGATCTGCACCTTAAACCCTCCTGACCTACACCCTCAAAACTCCAAGATGTGCACCCCAAACCCTCCAGATCTGCACCCTAGACCCCTCTAATCTATACCCCTAAAATCCCAAGATGTGCACCCAAAACTCTCCAGACCCCGTGATTTACACCCCAAAAACCCCAAGATCTGCACCCCCAAAATCCCAGATCTGAACCCCAAACTCCCCTGACTTACACCCCAAAAACCCCAAGATCTTCGCCCCAAACCCTCCAGATCTGCACCCCAAACCCCTTTGACCTACACCCCAGAACCCCAAGATGTGCACCCCAAACCCTCCAGATCTGCACCCCAAACCCCCTTGATTTACACACCCAAAACCCCAAGATCTGCCCCCCAAATCCCCCTGATCTACATCCCCAAAATCCCAAGATCTTCACCCCAAACCCTCCAGATCTGCCCCCCAAATCCCCCCTGATTTACACCCCCAAAATCCCAGCTCTGCACCCCAAACACTCCATATCTGCACCCCAAATCCCCCCTGATTTACACCCCCAAAATCCCAGCTCTGCACCCCAAACCCTGTGGGTTCCCCATGCCCCAGACTGGAGGCGTTGGGAGATTTGAACCTCCCTGACCTTCCCGTCTCCGGCGAGGATTTAGCACTAAAACCTCGACTTTTCTGTTCAAAGAAGGTTTTGCAACATTCCCGGCATCCATCCCTGGGCAGAGGTTCGGAAAATAAAATAAATAAACAAGAGAAAAACGCGTGTGATCCTGGAAAACAAGGAATGAAAGAGCGTGGTGGGATGGGGCTGGGCCAGAGCTGGGCTGTGTTTTTTTGGGGTCTGAGCCATCACCCCCTGATTTGTGGAGCGGAATTTCCCTGTCCCTGTGCACACACAAAGTCTCTAAACAAAATAAGCTCCTCAAGGCCCTTCTGCTCTGCCTGCCTGGGTCTGCAGTGAATGACCCCAGTGTTTTACATGTGCTGCTGAAAGGATTTTGATGAGTCACGAGCTATTTCTGTAAATAATTTAAAAAAAATGAGAAGGAAATGGACATTCAATATTTAAAAAAAAAAAATAAAAATGGGGCCCCGTGAACGTTCATCTTCAGAAGATGAAAAAATTAAAAACTTCCCCAAAACTTCGCTCTGTGCTCCTTCCCGGGTTTCTGCACAGAGTGAAGTTTTGGGGAAGTTTTTAATTTTTCTGCACCCCAAAACCCCCAGATCCACACCCCAAAACCCCCAGATCTGCACTCCACAATGCCCGGGATGGGCAGAGGTTTCTGGAGAGGTTGGGGTGGCAGAAGTGGGAGCTGACGCCCATCCAGGTGTCCAATCCCATCCAGGGCCTGCTCCCACCTTTTCCTGGGCTTTTCCTTCCCACAATTTTTCCTCTTCTCATTTTCTGAGCCCCCAAAGCAGGGGGTTCACAGTAATCCCACTGGGATGAGTGGCCCGAGTGTTTTGGGGTCCCTTCAGCCCTGATCGCAGCCACAGAGACCCCCAAAACAGCAGGGAAGGGCCAAATCTCAGAGCAGGAACCCTTTGGAAATTTTCCTTCCTGACCCTGATATTCCAATTTCTTAATGCTCATTTAGGTAAAAACCAAACCCAAAAACCCCAAAGTTCTCCCTCTTTTTTTTGGTTCTTTGGAGCTCTTTGGAAGCTTTGCTGGCTCTGGTTATCCAAGGTAGTGACTTCCCCAAGTTGTGCTTCAGGGGTGAGCAAAAATCCCAAAGATTTAGGGTAAAACATAGGGGTGAGTAAAAATCCCAAAGATTTGGGGTAGGTAAAGCATCAGGGTGGGCAAAAATCCCAAAGATTTGGGGTAAAGCATTGGGGTGAGCAAAAACCCCAAAGATTTGGGGTAAAGGATTGGGGTGGGCAAAAATCCCAAAGATTTGGGATAAAGCATCGAGGTGTGCAAAAATCCCAAAGATTTGGGATAAAGTTTCAGAGTGTGCAAAAATCTCAAAAGATTTGGGGTAAAGCATCTGGGTGTGCAAAAATCCCAAATATTTGGAGTAAAGGATTGGGGTGAGCAAAAATCCCATGGATTTGGGGTCCAGCTGGAGGGAAGGGAGGGATCCATGTGGACGCAGCTCTGGAGCAGAAGCGTGGGTGCCTCCTGCCAGCGTTTTTTGGGGTGCAGGAAGTTGTGCCCCAGACAGGGGTGACCTGTCCCAGTGTCCCCTCCCATCCACAGACTGGTTTTGCAATCAAACTGGGAGAGCTTTCATGTCTGTGCCAAAGGAAAAAATAAAAAAACAAACCCAAAAAACAACTAAAACAAGGATAAAAAAGTTTCTAGTTTAAAAGTTAAAATCATCTCCAAGTGTTAAATCCATCAGAGCCAGGGATGGTCCCAGGGTGGCTGGGGAGGGGGAGATGGGAGCCCAAACCAAAATGGGGAGGAGGAAATGGGGACCCAAATCAAACTGGGGAGGGGGAGATGGGACCTAAACCAAACTGGGGAGGGGAAATGGGGACCCAAATCAAACTGGGGAGGGAAATGGGGACCCAAATCCCCAGAAATGGGGAGGGGAAAATGGGAACCCAAAACAAACTGGGGAAGGGGAGATGGGAACTCAAACCAAAATGGGGAGGGGAAAATGGGAACCCAGACCAAGATGGGGAGGGGGAAATGGGGACCCAAACTGAGCTGGGTGAGGGGAAATTGGGGAGCCAAACCAAAATGGGGAGGGGAAAATTGGGACCCAAACCCCCAGAAATGGGGAGGGGGAGATGGGACCTAAACCAAACTGGGGAGGGGAAAATGGGGACCCAAATCAAGCTGGGGAGGGGGAGATGGGAACCCAAACCAAGATGGGGAGGGGAAAATGGGGACCCAAATCCCAGCTGACCCCACACTCACCGAGCAGATGAAGCCACTTTTCACCCCTCTCCTTCCTTCCAGGGCCGGCCATTGCTCCTGGAAGGACTTTTTGGGAGAATTTCCTCACAGAAAAGGGAGTCAGGAATTGGGAAGGAGCTGCCCAGAGAGGTGGTGGAGTCCCCGTCATCCCTGGAGGTTTTTTCAAGTTGGGGGTCACAGACAGATCTCAATAAAATATTGAATTCTGTAAAAAGTTGTGGTGTTTGTTTTTTGTTTTGTTGGGATTTTTTTTTGTTTAGGTTTTTTGGGTTTTTTTGTTTTGTTTTTTTATTATTTTCGGGGGGTTTTTTTGGTTTTTTTTTGTTTGTTTTTGTTTTTCTGGGGGTTTTTTTGGTTCTTTCTTTTTTCCCCCCACAACAACCTTAAGCAAAGCGAGGCCCAGCAGCAGCACGATAGGTAATTTCTTTTATTGCATTTTATAATGCCATTGTCCATACAGATTACATGCAGCTAGACCTACTGTACAAGGGTTTACCGTCTGCCCACGCAGACACACGGAGAGCTCGGAGTACAAATACACAGCCAGGATTTTCCTTTTATACAGCACGAGGAGGGCAGCGAGGGAGCCTCGGGGTCGCTTTTTACACATCCGCCCTCCCCTCCGCCCCCTGGGACCTCACCCCACCTCCCCAGCATCGCCTTCCCACCCAGCGCCGCGAAAACCGGGGAGAAAACGGGGAAAAACGGGAAAAAATGGGAAAAAAAGGGAATAAAATAGGAAAAAAAGAGGGAAAAAATAGGAATAAAATAGGAGAAAAAGAGGAAAAAAAGAGGAAAAAAATAGGAATAAAATAGGAAAAAAAGAGGAAAAAATAGGAAAAAAAGAGGGAAAAATTAGGAATAAAATAGGAGAAAAAGGGGAAAAATTAGGAATAAAATAGGAATAAAATAGGAAAAAAAGAGGGAAAAAAAAGGAAAAAAAAAGGAAAAAATAGGAAAAAATTGGAATAAAATAGGAATAAAAGAGGAAAAAATTAGGAAAAAATAGGAATAAAAGAGGACAAAATTAGGAAAAAATAGGAAAAAATTAGGAGAAAATAGGAAAAAAAAAGGAAAAAATAGGAATAAAATAGGAAAAAAAGAGGAAAAAAAAGGAAAAAAATAGGGAAAAAATAGGAAAAAAATAGGAATAAAATAGGAAAAAAAGAGGAAAAAAGAGGAAAAAATAGGAATAAAAGAGGAAAAAAAGAGGAAAAAATAGGAATAAAAGAGGAAAAAATTAGGAAAAAATAGGAAAAAAAAGGAAAAAAAGAGGAAAAAATAGGAAAAAAAAAGGAAAAAAAGAGGAAAAAATAGGGAAAAAAAAGGAAAAAAAAGAGGAAAAAATAGGAAAAAAGAGGAAAAAAAAGGTGGTGGCAATGCTGGTGCTTCCCAGATGTCCCCAAGGGGATGTCCCCAATCTGTCGCAGCTCCATCCTCCCAGCCCAGCCCCTGGCTCTGGAATGTCCCGACCTTCCCCAACGCTTCCAGGATAAAAACCGAGATCCAGGGAATGCTGCGGGGCAGTGAGGTTGGCCAGGGGTGTAAACAAAGCAAAGAAAACCCTTTGGTTTGGTGCAGGTTCAGCAGCTCCTCCTTCCCTCCCAGCGCTGGGTTCTGACCCCCCCGTCCCCAGGTGTGGGGAGAAGAAATCATTGAGGAATTAATAAAATAAAATAAAAAAAAAAAGAAAACAAAGACAAAAACATGGAAAAATGAATAATTCCTTCAGTGGGAGATACCAGAAAAATGCCTTTAGGTCCAGGGAGGTGCCCTCAGCTGCCCCCAAGGGTGGAGAGAAACAGAAAACAAATCACAAAAATACAGAACAACCCCCCCCCCTAAAAAAAAAAAAAAAAAAGAACAATTTGTGTTGGTAGGTTGACAGCCAGAATATCTCTATCTCAATATATACAGACACACAATTCCGTTTGGTCCTTGATCCTCCCTCCCTCCCCAGCAGCGTTTTGAGGTAAAACTCGCAGAATTCCGGAAAATCCCGACCAAAAATGAAGCAGAGGGGTGGGAAGGGAGGAGGCAGCGAGGCAGGAGGGGACTCTCAGTACCTGGGCTCAGGTGGAGCCTGCAGAGGTGGCCAGGCTGGGAGGGGGTAAGAGAAGAAATTAAATTTACCCAATTTAATTAAAATTAAAATTTAAATTTACCCAATTTAATTTAAATTAAATTGAGTATCAAACCAGGCACGTTTCCCTTTGGAATCGTGGAATTCCCAGGGTTGGGGGGAAAAGGCATCACCTGGAGCCACAGGGCTTTTCCAAACCTGTGCATTGTGTTTTAAGGAAAAAAAAAATCCTCTTTTATATGGATAGATTTATTTTTATATATAAAATATATAGGGAGTGCTCTTGGATGGGGCCGAGGAGCGTCGGGAATTTTTGGAGCGGAGGGGAAGGAGCCCCTGGGTTTGGGGAGGGGTTTTGGGCTGAATCCATGGGGATCTGCAGGCCTTGGGATGCATTTTGGGGGTGTTTGTACCTCTGGAAAAATTAAAAAAAAAAATAAAAAATCACACCCCAAGGAGGTTGGAAATAAAAAGGGAGAGGAGGAAGGTGAAGGAAAAGGGTGAGAAATGGGAAAAAAGGGGAGCAGCTACAGAACCCCTCCAAAAATCAGCTGAAGAGCTGCCAAAGAGGGATAAAAATTCCCAAAATCCCAAAAGCCTGGATGGGGACAGAGGTTCCCTGTGGGGGATGATGAGGGGTGGCCCAGCATCCCAAAGTCTGGATGGTCCTTCCTGCTCCTCCCTGGGAATAAAGCAGCAAAAGGTGAGGAAAAACCCCCATGGCAGCTGTAAACGTGTCCCAACGGTGATTTAAATTAAAGAGTGGGGGAAAAAGGGGGAAAAAATGAAGAAAAAAGGGGAAAAAGTGGATAAAAGGGAAAAAAAAAGGAAAGGAAAGAGGGGAAAGTAGGAAGAAAAATAGAGGGAAAAGGGAAAAAATAGGGAGAAGAAGAAAAAAAGAAGAAAAAAGAAGAAAAAAGAAGAAAAAAGAGAAAAAAGAGAAAAAAGAGAAAAGGAAATGGAAAAAGCAAAGAGGGGGAAAAGGGAATAAAGAAAGATGAGGGCAAAAAGAAAAGAGGAAAATAAGGGGAATAAAGAAAAAACAGAAAAGGAATAAAAGACAAAGGGGGAATAAGGGGAATAAAGAAAAAGGAAGAAAAAAGGAGAAGAGAAAAGGGAGAGAAAAAGAGAAAAAAAATAATAAAAAAGAACAAAAGAGGAAAAAATAAAGTAGATGGGGGAAATCCACGGTGCCTCGCAGCTCCTTGGGCAGGAGTGGGACGGACTGGGATGGATTGGGATGGACTGGGATGGACTGGGATGGATTGGGATGGATTGGGATGGATTGGGATGGACTGGGATGGACTGGGATGGACTGGGATGGATTGGGATGGACTGGGATGGACTGGGATGGACTGGGATGGATTGGGATGCGTGCAGCAAGAGCGGCTCTTTGGTGCCCCCCAGCCCGGGCAGGGTCTTTGGTGCCCGGCAGAGCCCGGGAAGGGGCCGGGCACGGGGAATGCACCGGGAATGAACCGGGAAGGAAGAGCCGGGAATGGGCTGGGAATGAGCCGGGGATGAACCGGGAGTGAGCCGGGAATGAGCCGGGAATGAGCCGGGGATGAGCCGGGAACGGTCCGAGGATGCTCGGGAAGGAAAGCCTGTCCCGGAGCCGGGAACGCTCCGGGAATGAGCCAGGAACGCTCCGGGAAGGAAGGAAGGAATGAAGGAATGAAGGAATGAAGGAAGCGCAGTCGCGGCGCTCGCACGGCAGCCGCGGGCACGGGTGACACCTAGAGGGGTGTCGGGGGGAATACGGAAACGCGGGGATCCGGGCACGGGAGAGACCCCCAGGCACCGCCCCAGAGAGTGGGACACCCCCGGGACACAGGGGGACACAGAGGGGGACACAGGGACACCCCAGTCCCTGCAGCCGGCTGGGCAGCGAGCATGCGCCGGGCAAGGAAAAGGATGAGGGGAAAAGGAAAAGGATGAGGGGGAAAAGGATGACGGGGAAAGGATGAGGGGAAAAAGAAAAGGATGAGGGGGAAAGGAAAACTATGAGGGGAAAAGGATGAGGGGAAAAGGAAAAGGATGAAGGGGAAAGGAAAAGGATGAAGGGGAAAAGGAAAAGGATGAAGGGAAAAGGATGAAGGAAAAAGGATGAGGGGAAAAGGATGAAGGGAAAAGGCAAAGGATGAAGGGAAAAGGAAAAGGATGAGGGAAAAGGAAAATGATGATGGGAAAAGGAAAAGGATGAGGGTAGTCCAGGCTCACCCCACAGCCCCAGGAGCCCCTCGGGGGGGGTGTCCTGGTTTGAAAACCAAGTGAGGATTTTTTGGGATGCTCTGATCACAGCATTTGGGTGCTGTTTGACCACAGCATCCCAAAAAAACCTCACTTCCTTTTCAAAGCAGGACAGGGGGTGACAGAGGTGGCACACGGGGACAGGTGACACCTTGCCCTGACCCACGGCTCCGGGTGTGGCACTTCCAGCCCCAAACGGAGCTCCCGTGATGCCAACGGTGACACAACCCCCAGGAATGTCACATCCCAGGAAAACGGGACAGAGAGGGACGGAGGAGACCTTGGGGTCACTTTGGAGAGCCCAGAGTTGGCCAAAAAACCCAGAGCAGCTCCAGGTCCATCACAGCAGATCCTGCTGGGTGCCAGGACAGCCAGAGCCAGCCTGGCTGTGCCAGGGAAGGGGAGCATTCCAGGGGAAGGGGAGGATTTCCAGGGAAAGGGGAGGATTCCCAGGGAAAGGGAGGATTCCCAGAAAAGGGGATGATTACCAGGGGAAGGTGAGGATTCCAAGGAAGGGGATGCTCCCCAAAGCCACCACTGGACACTGGGAATGCCACCCTGCCTCCCTGGCACTGGGTGCCCACATCACCACCCCAGAAAGAAAGAGCAGGGAGAAGAGGGGTGTTTGGTTGTGTTGTTCTCGTTATTATTAATATTTTTTTGCGGTTTTTGTTGTTTTTTTTTTTTTTGGCATGAATACCATCTGTTCACCTGAACTACGGACCTTCTGTCTCTAAGAAATCTTTTGGTATCTTCCCATCTGGACGCAAACAAAAGGATGAGGAAAAGAAAAGATGAAAAGCAGAATTTCCTCCCCCCACACCCCACCAGCAGCAGCAGGATTTGGCCACCACAGGGATCCTCCAGGGCCAGCTCTGATGACCCCCAGGCCCCCTGCAGGTGCTCAGCTGTGGGGATGGTGCCCCTTTGCTGCCCTGGCCCAGCTTTGGGGGTGCAATGGGGGGCACTGGGAGTGCCTGAAGTGACGTGGGAGCAGTGGCCATCCCTGCTGGCTGGGAGGTGGCACCTGTGGCTGATGGCCAGCAGGACAAAGGGAGCTGTGACCTTGCTGCCAGCACTGCTGGGGTGGTCAGCACTGACGGTCAGTGCTGCTGGGGATGGTCAGTGCTGCTGGGGATGGTCAGCAGTGATGGGAATGGTCAGCACTGATGGTCAGCACTGATGGTCAGTGCTCCTGGGGATGGTCAGCACTGATGGTCAGCACTGATGGTCAGCACTGATGGTCAGTGCTCCTGGGGATGGTCAGCACTGATGGT